AGTTTTTAGCTATGTAGCCCTATAATATTTTGCATTGTGTAAATAGACACTACCAATTCTTACGCCACAACATCGAGTACACAGATATCTAATCAGAGTGCGTGTTAATCAGTGTGTGTGTCGGTGTCATGGAACAGAAAACAAAGACAAATAATGAAGTGCAAAATAGAACTAATGCAAAACAAAAGAAAACGAAATTACGATCTGTGGTGCATCCATGTGAAAAAAATTATTGATAAATGATTCAGACGCTCACTAAAACTAACGTAGATGATGGAGATGAAAATTACTTAATTGAAAGCAACTATGAAATAGACAAGTACTAGCGAACGAAGCCAAACGCGTATTGATGGGAATAAATATGAACAGTTACGTAATCCTCGCGCAACTTCACGCAAAACCGTGAATAGAATAGAAAAGAAATTATAGTTGCAACATGTTGTGTGATTATAAGCAAAGTTTATAGCAAGACATGCTTTTTCCTCACAAACAACTTCATTTTTCTGCGATACCCCCTCGAGAGTTCTTCGATAATATGTTGCAGGCACAGTCCTTGTAAATTTAAAACAAGCGGCTATTCAGTCATACTTATTTCAACTACCGTATTAATTCGACTTAGCGTCCTCTTTGCCATAAGCGCTGCCCTTTAGAGAGCTTCCTCCCTCGAAACTTGTTTGTATTAACGAGTGCCCCTATTCTAATACTCGTTCCGATTCTGTTTCAGTGATAGCAGTGCTAGAGTGCATGGACAGTGAGAATTTGATGAATTTTTCGCCTTTTTCTCCATCACAGAATACAGGTTTGTTAACCATGAAAAATATTTCTTAATGATTAAAGACATAGATAGAAGAGAGTCTTTCACCCAATAATCCATTTTATTACTTTTCTCAACGATAACACTTTTTAGCTTGCATGTACTAAAAACTATACTTAGCAGCTCGGCCCCTAAAGCTTGAAGTTCCTCTGTTTCTACTGAACGAAGATGTATCCCATGGCTTTGATAAGTTTGTCGCCTTTATCTCCACCGTGCTTGGCCACATCGCCACACGAATTGGTATCGTCTGGATATCCAGCGGTACCAAACCCGATTCGGGAATCACTGCTTCCGCAATCATCTTCATTGTTGCCTACGATACCAATTCGTGCTTTCGAATGATTTGCTAGATCGCTTAGGACGTTGAAGCCTTCTTTGTTGCATTTTTGCTGTAGGGAGGCTTCACTGATGAGATTCTTCCATGCTTCTCGGCCCAGTGAGGTTTGGCGATATTGGCCATCAGCTATCAGGGAGTGCAGTGAGCTTGCCTCCTGGTTCAAAACGATGAACTTACTTTCTGCACCAGCCTTCATACCCAGGCAGATCTTAGTAAAGGAGGTGCTCCAATAGGTTGGCAACTTGGTCTCTCCGGCGTCCAAATTTATCCCGTTGGAGGGTTCGTATTCTTTCTTGTCGCTCCAGAAAGGTGAGTCATATTTGAATGTGGACTATGACAGTAAACAAAAGAGTCTTAAATAATGGCTGTAAACATATTAAATTCATATGTGCGCACTGCGGTTGAAGAAACCGGAATATAGAATCGATCCTCGCAGTTATGAACATAACTAAACTAGTAGTTAAAAAAGGCCTGAAAAACATCAGCCATTATTCATATGATTTTCATATGTTTACAGCCATTATTCACCACTTCGAAGGTTTATTTGGATCCAACATAATGACCAGCTCCCAGTTAGCTTGCTAGCTCAGTTGGTAGAGCGCTGCACTGGTCATAGGTTCAAATTCCGTACAGGCCTGATGTTTTCAACTACTAGTTCAGTAGTGTTCATAGCTGCGAGGATCGATTCTATGAAAGGGTCTTAAATTTTGCATCGTGTTGCACTCTTAAGTCGCCCTCACAGTGTTTAAAAAAGTAATTTTATGTCTCCCCCTATCACTTCATGAAATGCGCGACTCAAAATTTTAGAATTTTGTCGATAAAGTTGTCACATGGTCCAACCCAAGTGATGAATGTTATAAGACTGGATATTATCTTTCCTACTTTCAACATTAAGCAACAATGATTCTGTTCTATCTGCTTCGTTGCAGACGGCTGACCAGTATTTTCCAACAATCCTTTGAAATACGCAGACATTTATTATTGTCATATATAAGAGGACCTTGATAATTGCTCAAACCCAGGACAAAACATCATCCTTTTGAACAAGCATTAACTTCAACACTCTAAGTGTGTTTTTTTATGTCACTATTGTCATATGTTCATCACGATATTTTTAATTTATACGTATCATTCTTTGTATTCAAGTCTTTTCTTTAATTGTTCATGTCATCACATCTCCTTATCCGTCGAAGACGGTAGACTGAAAGCTTACAGTGACTTTTACAAGACTTTTTTTTGGCGGGAGAACGCTTCTATAAATATTTTTGTTAATGATTCCGGTAACAGATATTCATGTTGCTGCTCCAGTTTTTGGAAATCAATCAATGCTTCGGGTTTGATATTTGCTACATACTAGAGAGGCACTTTGATATGGTGCTAAATTACTGTATTGCGTATCAAGAACGGACATGGAATGAAACTTAATCATTGCATCTAACATATACTAATGAAAAATTTCACGTGAAATATTTCAAGGACAGTTCAAGGAAAATGTGAGTGGATGAAATGGCAACTCTTAAACTACCTTTGCGCCATCAATCTTCATGACCAGCGTCCATCCTCCACCTCCACAGTCGCCGAGACCAGCGCCATCCATGTTACAATAAACAGGCAGTTTCGTGAATTCGTCCACCTGGAGCATGTAATCCTTGTTCGCTCTTAATCCACAAAAAAAAAAAACTTTTTTATTAGCATAAATGTGAATATTTTTTATTTCCAGTGTTTTTTGTATAAGCTTAAGCATTAAGATATTATGACTACTTACTTTTCCCCGTCTTCAAAGCCGTATTTGCAAGACATGGGTGGTTCTGGAGGCGGCTCTAGATAAAAAAAAAAAGGGATACCCAAAACTTTTAACTCTTCTGTTGGATTTTTAAAACCTTGGTTTCACAGATTTCTATAGAAAGAGATATAAAAGTTGAAAAAATGAAGCAAATAAAGATTCGACGAATGAATTTGAAAACTACATTTTTATTCTACCTGGGCAAGGACATTTCAAATTCTCAATCATTTCCTTGAGTTCATCCAACTTTGCGTCAGCTGTCTTGCAGTATTTGCTGGCTCCTTTTCCAGCATCTGCGAAAATGACATAATGCACCAGGAAAATAATTGCAATAACCTTCATGTCTGCAACTTCTGATCCTTACTCTCCAAACTAAACTGATCGGGTTACACTCGCAGTGAAGAAAGATAACTTGGAAGTTGAAGAGATTATTGTTAATAAGACCTTGATTGCTCTTCAGCTTAAAAGCCAAATTCTCCATAACGTAGGCCACAGCAGTTCTTACTTTTTAGAGAGAGTTTTCGAAAGTTAGTCATGTCCGACAAATTGATTGGTTTAACGTTTTCACCAACTGATTATGCAATGTCCAGCCAATGAGAGAAAAACTGTTTACGAAGGTTTCTGAAGTAAGTCTAAATAACTATAGTTACGAACGCCTGCCAAAATATTAATGACCTGGATAAACATCCTACGCCGCGAACTTTTTTTTTTCAGTTTTTAGAATTAAAGAACACAGAAAGGAAAATGCCTTTGCACGCTCGGCAATAGTGTTTGGGAGGCAATAGTGTTTGGGAGGTTTAGTTCAGTGCTCAACTGAAAACTCTTATTTTCCATAAACAGCACGACAGCATTATTCATTTCTTACTGGGGGATTAAAAAGTCAGTCAGTATCTAAATAGTAATTAGTTTAGCGATCTTTACCGGTCGATTATCCAATAGCCAGCATATCGGAGAAAAACAGTTTACGAAAGTTTAAGAAGACAGTCTAAATAGCTATAGATACGAACACCTGCTGCAGTGACCTTGGAAAACACAATACTGGAATGTTTCTACAGAATTAATTTACAGAGAGTAAAATTACCTCCGCACGTCCGGCAACAGCGTCTGCAAGGTGAAAGTTCTAACATTAAGTTACAAAACAAACTTATACGACAGTACTTTCACTTTGAGTGACTATTTTTCTTGCGCGACAAACTCAAGTTATCAAATAGTGGTATTTTCAATGCGGAATGATGATATATCAGGTCACTTACAAAAATAAATGAGAATACCATGGGAACAGATCAGTTTACATGATGGATTTAAAAACAAACCAAATTTGTCACAATTTGAATTGTTTTTCTATCAATTTTCTAAAGAAGCCGGCTTTGTTTGGGTACAGAGCACCCTTACTAGCATCTCAAATAAACACTTTCATCTCACACATTACCGAGAAAAACTGTTGAAAAAAACCGTGACACAAAAATATCAGAGTAATTCGATTTTTGGACAGTTTCTGAGATACCTACTTCCCTGCATTAAATGTCTGGCCGGGCAACTGTCCGCCACGGCCTACAACAGCATAGCGTGCGCACGATGGTTAAGGAAGAGAATGCACTACATTGAACCTTTTAAGAAAACTTCCAAAAGACGCTGTCGACGCGGCTAAACAAGATGGCGTTGTTTTATAAGATTCTTTTTGAAGGCAGTAAAGTTTATATGACGAAACTGGAAGACTTACAAAGACGATAAACAGGGAGCACTCCATGAAAGACAGGATCTATCCACGATTTTGTAGAGACATGAAACAAATTGCCAAATTTAACGAAGTCTACATTAGTAGATCGCTTAGTAACACAGCGGATGATAGATGGAAGGCAAAATCAAATCGTTCTTAGCATGCTACTTTTCCTTCTTCATTCGTTTCTGTTCGGTATGAACAGCTCGGGAAGATCTCAAGGTATTCATTTACATCAAACAGGGTTGTTAACCGGGTAAAAAAATCTAAGATGATACAAGACATCAAGGAGAACAACATCATTCATCCAATAATCCATTTTATTACTTTTTTCGGCAATGAAACCCTTTAGCGTGTATGTGCTCCTACTAACTATGCTCAGCAGCCAATAGCTTAGGCCCCTACTGCTTGAAGTTTAACTGTTCCTACTGAACGAAGATGTATCCCATGGCTTTGATGAATTTGTCGCCATTATCTCCACCGTGCTTGGCCACGTTACCACACGAGTTGGTATTGTCTGGGTATCCAGCGGTACCAAACCCGATTCGGGAATCACTGGACGTGCAAGCGTTTTCATTGTTACCCACGATTCCAATTCGTGCCCTAGAAGCACCGGCGTTAACACTCAGGACGTTGAAACCCTCCTTTTGGCAGTTGTTTTGTAAGGAAGCACCAGTGATCAACTTCTTCCATTCGTCCCGACCCAGAGAGGTTTTGCGATATTTGCCATCTGCAATCAGGGCGTACAGCGAGCTTGCCTTTTGGTTCAAAACAAAGAACTTGGTGACCTCACCAACCTTCATACCGAGACAGATCTTGGTGAAGGGTGTGTTCCAGTAGGTTGGTAACTTGGTCTCTTGGTCATCCAAGCCAGACTCCCCTTCAGGGAGGCCGTATTCTCTCCTGTTCGTCCAAAACGGTGAATCGTATTTAAACGTTTGCTACAAAAGAAAATAATGAAGTTGAGATTTTTCATAAAAACGGTTGTGCTCTTATCCTGATTTTGATGTAATTGCAGCCTTCTATACTACAAAACTATTTCTCATTTAAATGCAACTGCAATTTTTCTGATTTAACCATACTGATGATAAGACAGCCGAACTATGTATGAGGTTAACCCAACGAGCAATATCAACTTTGTGGATACCTTTGCACCATTAATCTTCATGACGAGTGTCCACCCTCCGCCTCCACAATCACCAAGACCTGCGCCATCCATGTTGCAGTAAACAGGCAGCTTCCTGCAGCCGTTCAAATCGACCATGTATGCCTTGTTCTCTTTTGACCTTAAAACAAAGAGTTATTTTTGTAGGGACTGTGACAAAATGCAGGAGTACCGTTTTTTTTAACTTTATAAAATTGAAATTCGCCATAATTTCACACGAAAAATTGAGCGTACTTACCCGGTCGCATCATAAATCTCCTTGCAAGACATGAGCGGTTCAGGAGGTGCAACTAGAAGGAAACCAAAAACAGAAACTCGTAAATTTTGGTTAAACCGTGGTTATTACATACATCAGCAAGGAACATAGAAACTGAAAATTTCTGCAACAAACAAATACGCAACCAAAATACTTGAAAACTGAATTTTCATCACCTGGACTCGGACACTCCTTGTCTTCTATCATGTCCTTGAGCTCATCCAACTTCATATCTGCACTCTTGCAGAATTTGCTTCCTCCCTTTCCAGCATCTGCGGAAATGGAGAAATACACCAGGAAAATAATTGCAATAAGCTTCATCGCTGCAATTTCTGACTCTCGCTTTTCAAGCAAACCTGACTGGTTTATAAGTCCCTAATTGCTACATAGCTTAAAACCCTAATTCTCCATGACTAAGCCAACAATAGTTCTCACTTTTTTGTGGGAGATTTCAAAAGTCAATCAGGTCCGAGTTATGATATGTTTATTATTTATAAGCGGCAGTTTTGAAGGTTTTTGAAGACAGTCCAAGTAACTATAGATACGGACGCCTGCATCAGTGACCGTGGATAAAAGTTTTACATATTGTATTAGTTAATCTCTTGCTATTGTTCATGACTCAACACGCAGAGAGGGTAAATACCACCAGATGTCTGTAAAAAGTGTCTGGAAGGTCTTGTTTCCAAAATTTAAGTCTAAAACAAAACAAAACTGACTTCTCCTATAGTCTGATCCACTATCTTGCGTGACTTGAAAATTGAACTCAAAGACGGTTTTTCTCATGTTGGAAACTTATTGAAACATAGTGGCCGCCTCGCAAAATGATTACCGTGGATTTGAATTCGTGTACGTGACTAGTTTACACAAAACTTTGCTAATTTTCATTTGTTTTTCTTTCCACTGACCTTCGGAACAGCCGTCCTTGCTGTGGAAAAGAGCCCCCCCTTAGAACTCAAATTTCATTAACAACAAGGGACAGGCAATAGAACTGACAGAATATAAATTTAGTGGGCTTTTCTAGGTCTTTTGAGAGGCAATTTGGTTGGCGAAGAGGGCATAAGCATGGCAGAACGAGAAAATTTTCAATAGAACTGACAGAATATAAATTTAGCGGGCTTTTTTAGGTCTTTTGAGAGGCGATTTGGTTGACGATGAGGGCATAAGCATGGCAGAACGAGAAAATTCTTCGGGGTTGCACTTCAAAATAATATTGTGGCTGTATCGGTAATTTTGACAGGTTTGAAAGTAAGCATTTATTTCCCATGCAAGGGGAATTTATTGGCCATTTCACAATCTTTCACTGTTTCCGGGAGAGGATTCGTTTAAGAAAACGACGATGTCTCTGGTAATCACTTGACAATTACCTTTGTTAAAAAGCGTTATCAAAGCGTTATAACTTTCTTCAGCGAATTTTGAGCGGAGAAGGTGCCAAATCATTAGTCAAAATTTTTCTTAGTCTAAAATTATGAAATTTTGTTATGTTAGGTGCCGATTCCCGAACTTTCACGTTATCCTATTATCCTGAAATGAAATGAAAATTTTTCACGATTTATTACACCCATTTTGAAATCACTGGTGGTCCCTGTAATCTGATTGGCTCTAATTGATGCGATTTATTCACAAATTGCACCATTTTTTTTCCTTTAAATCGCATCTTTTTCCCAGCCAATGAGCAGGCTACACTAAAAACAAAACAGCAAATCAGATTTGAAGGCTTGTTCAAAGTAACCGATCAAATTGCAGAAAAATGAAAGACTAAGAGTATCATGTGGCAAATTTTGCAACTTTTGTCGACAGTTTACCAACTTTTACTTTTTCCACCCCAGAAAATAGATGAATTTAATTTCAGACCGGCTCAGCACTGCATCAATAAAATATTTTAACTGACAAAGTCCTGTGTTTGGGCGATTTTAAAATGGATGTAATAAAGTGGTAATTGAATTTCGTGTCGTGCAATTTTGGTCTGAAATCATGCGCGTGATTTCAAATCGAACTCGCGCTGCGTGCTCATTCGATTTTGAAATCACGCGTATGATTTCAGCCCAAATTGCACTCCTCTCAGTTCAATTACCATTATTAACAGAAAATAGATTTTTGGCATCCATTGGCATCCATTGCAAGTTTATGGTTTTAGTCAGTAACGGTGTTATGTATCGTATGAATATGGCATCTGAAATTACATATGACTATACAAATATCCCTGCATATGTACATCAACTTAACATTTTA